TATATATATATACGTATATATAACAAGAAAGTTTACTTGAGTCGAAAAGAGACGAACGATTGCTTGTAACGAACGCGACTCGCATGATCCCAGACAGGAAAAAGCAAAACTAGAAAGGGAGTGTGGGTAACGGGGCTAGAGGACGACTTTTGTACACGTCAGATTGAAATTTAGCGTGGGATTTCAATGAGTCCCCGAAGTAGTAGCGAGATTACCTTCAGCCTGATACTACTTTGACGTATGTACTACAACTCCGTTTCAACGAATCCCATTCGACTTAGGGTTGGGTAGAGTTCATCTTTTTTCATTCTTCTTTCCTAGATTCATCCTCTGTACTTTAACGTCCAACGAATCTATTAAACTGGTCGATAGAGCGTGGTTACGTATTCCGAATAAACGAATTCATCTATTTAGTTGTTGCCTCTGTAATATGATACGTTTCTGTTCAATGATTCTTCATATCTTATTTTCTTATTGTCAGATTTGAATTAGAAAAATTCGATATTTTTAGGATATTTGTTTTCCTACAAAATATCTACGAAGGATATAATACGCTTTCATATTTTACAATAATAAGAAAATAATGTAATAGATGATAGATAGGTTGTATGTCAACTTTTCCCTATTAATGCTTACAAGCAATGTTATACATGTCAAGAAAAAGAAATACGTGTAAGAAAAAGGGATAGAAAAGAATATAGTCGTTTGTAAGACGTGGGAAACAACATAAGGCTAAATAGAAAGAAAAAAAAAAAGTTACGCCTGAGGGTTCGGTTTTTTCACCTAATAAGATCAATTTTTCGATAATGAAGTCTTGTTCCTCTTTCGGGGGTGAAAGTATCGAAGTCAAAGACACTAAGGGCTCAGAATAGTTTTTTAGTCGACATAGACGAAAAAAGAGAAAAGATAGAAAGGGTGGAGTCTTCGATTCGGAGGGTTAGTTAAGAGAACCCCTTATCGAAAAGAATTGGAGAAGGGAGAAGGAAGGAAGGAAGGGGGCTTCGGTGCCTTTTAAAATCCATTGGAAAGTCGTTAATGTCTTTAAAGCGTCTTCATGTTTTCCTTGATGTCCAATGTCCCAGACGGGTAAAACTTTGCAACGTGGAAGTGGAAAACCAATTGGAGAACATGCGAGTGGTTCTTGTTATTCAATTTTCGATACCGATGAAACAGTTAAATTAGACAAAGATAACGAAGATTGAGATTTACATTCGATATTCTTTTTCTACGTATGCATGTATACAATATATTGTTCTTTTTTTCTTTTTTTTTTTTTATAGTTTTATTATATTCGTAAGAAGCTTTGATATTTCTTTTGTTGATGTTCTACTCTGACTAATCTATAAGGATTAAAAATTAATATGATGTTTATTAACGAATATACTTTGAAATATCGATAATAGTGAGAATCGAAAGGTTAATTAATACGAGATTGAGTTCCTATCGAGTATTGAATAATATTTTTCGATAGTTACGAACTATACTTGTGATTTAAATACATTTGATATTTTGTTAATACAAATTTGTAGTAATATTGAAAATAATATTTGAAATGAATTGAGAAAAGATAATTAACTAAAAAATAATTTATTATCGAAATTTTGTTTGATGAAAAATATTGATAACATTAGCAGCAACCATCGCGACCATAACTTTCATCCCTCGTTCGTGAAAGAAAAACATTGGCACGTAAAGAGAAAACGTTGTCGTTTTCTTTTCCTTTCTATTTTCTTTTTCTATTTTCTTTTTCTTTTTTTTTTTTTTTTTCTAGCCGTTCAGATGGTCGACAATGTGTTTCTGTGTTACGTGGAAGTCGTCGCCGAGCTTTTGACTATCGTCGTGACCTAGTAAATAAATACTCTGGAAGTATTCTTGGTATCATTCACAAAAGCATATCTGGATTTTCTTCCGATCATTTGAGCGTTTCAGGATAGTCGACGTGTTGAGAGTAAATCTTCTATTTGTTGAATTAGTGACACGTTTAAAATTCTATATCTCATATCACTCGAAATGTTACGTAAAAAACAATTCAATTATGACTTTGTATTTTCTACAATCCAATAACTTGCATTCCAATGTGAATCGAGGTATTGTTATATTTTATTAAACAATTTTATACAAAATTATTAATAGTGTAGCAACTGGTATTTTGTTGTCAATAAATCAGATTAACAAAGAATAGAAAATAACACGTTGTGTTTGTGTGTAAGTTTTATCGTTAATTGTTATGCAAGGAAAAGTTGGATTATATCGAGATCAATTTTGGAACGCGTGACCGAGGTTAAAAGCAAACGACCGTTTCGATTCATTGACCGAATTAACGGATCGTTGAATCGAATCCGATTCACAGATTTCCACCTTTCCTTTCTATCCGGTTAGAGATACGAAACCATTTCGTCTCGTCTCGTCTCGTCTCGTCTCATCTCGTCTCATCTCGTCTCATCTCGTCTCATCTCGTCTCGTCTGGTCTCGTCTCGATCATATGAACGATCTTCAGTGATGCTTCCTG